CCATATTTACAAACGTGACACTGTGAGCAAGAGCAAAAAAGCATTCCAAGTTGTATGCTTTCAGTTGTCTGCCCAATATTATGGGTCAGCTTTTTCCGGAAAATTAAACACATCAACCTATGGCAGAGGTGCACCACGCCAAGGTCGAAATCTTCTCAAAAAATGCTCTAAAGATCCTGGCCAGCTTTTGTAAAAAAACGTACTTCATGGATATGCAGGTTTTTCATTGGTTGATAGCAATTTGAGTAATCACCACACATGTGCATGATCTTCTTTGTTCAGAGTATTATGTATATGTGACGTTTTGTAAACATCCAGTCTATATTCTGCTCAAAATTACCCTTAGAAGTAAAATTTAAGGTGTCTTGATAACCAGATCTAAGTTTCAATTTTGAAATTTTAGAGCCCCAAAACTGTTCTGAATGAGGAATTATATATCCCACCTATAATGTAGGATACAACTGAAGTGGACTTGACATGCATGACGTTGTATCAGTAGAATATAAAACAGTTTGATAAATTTAAATAGTCTACTAGCACCCCTCACCTTAAGTTTATTCCATTCAATGCTACATGCTTGTGCAATCACTATGATTTAAATTTCCATGACGAATAAATTTTATATCACACTTCGCCAAAATATTTGTGTGGACAATCTCCATGACACTCTGCAGTCAATCATGAACACAAAAATTCAAGTCCTTCATTTTCTAATTAAAAAAAAAAGTTTCGTTTTCACAAATGTTATTACTCAGTTTTATAAAATCATGAGAGTAATGGTTTCCAGGAAATTAGCCGACACCAAACCTCTAATACTTGAATCTGATTTGGCTAAGGGGTGGATCAGGTGAAGTGATGGAGAGGTGGCTTTTAGAAAAAAATTTGCAAGCGAGACAATGAGAGAAAAAAAATAGTTGGCAAATTCAAGAAAAATAAATATGTATTGATTAAAACAGTGTGAAAGAAAAAATTGCACAGGTCACATTGATCCCACCTCCCCTAGTGATTTCAAATCCTTGATAATGTTTTATGTGCCTTACCCGATATCCACCCTCAATCACGTAAATATTTTATATGGCTCAAAATGGCTTACATACTCAAGTTACAACTCAACATTTCTATCATTGAGGTGATTAGGGACCTGTAACATTTACTCTAATGCTCTGAAATCATAGACCTTAGAAAACATGTTTTCTAAGGTCTATGCTGAAATCTACACAATAGATATGTATTTCTACTCATTGTATTTATTGCATGCAGGGTCATAGAACCACCTCTGTTTGTCACATGCAATAATAAAACAAACATGGTGTACTTATCCCAATTCTAGAACAAATTGAAGCGTTGTCAGCGCAATCCATATCACAGATAGGTCAAATGTGATCAGCCTTACGATACATCTTGAACACTTGATTCTTGTTCCCTGGATAAGGAACTACTCGTCTGTTGGCACATTCAACCATGAAAAGTATTTCCAAATTTACAGTGGGAGTTTTCTCATTTGAATGCCAACGTTGACTTTCACTAAAACAAATTTACCTAATTACTAATTATCTGGTCCAATACTGAATAAAGTACAAAATGTTACATTTTGGTGGGGAAAAATTAGAGCATTCAAGGAGTTGAATAAAAATAAGGAATTTTACATTGACACATCCTTGATCATATTTTAATTGATTGACTAGGTATTTTGATCACATCATTGTCAAATGATTTTTTTTTATCCATGCTACTGTATCAATAATTATGTATTAATATAAAATGTATCTGCTCTGCATACAATCATGTCTGTATTTTATACAAATGTAAAATAAACAAATAAATTGTAAAACAAAGCTGTCTTTTCATTTTCAATCTTCTTGAAAATCTATTATTCCAAACTGTTGATAAGAGAGATCTGCCAACCTGAAAAATAATTTCAGGAGAATTCAACAACTTTATTTTAAGTCGATTAATCCACCCAAATCTTTATTAAAAGGTGGTGTTCCTTCTATTCTGAAAAATACACAACATGGAGGACAGTACTATGTAGAACTTGATTATTCTGTGTTTTATTAGTCGCCATTCACAGTTCGAAAACTGAAACTTTTTTTTTAAAAATGAACATTTCTTGATCCTTTCTGCTACAAGCACTGTGCCATTTACAATGACTTGTTTTCACTGACATTTAAATGCGCTTAATTAAATACCAGTAAATATTACAATTCAACGATATAACGTATTGTTTTTTCAATATTCCAGGGGAATGTAAAACTCAGTAACTTTTTCTAAAATACCACCAGTTCCCCTTTATAGTATGCACTTTCCTTCAAATGATTAGGACAAAAATATCCAAATTGATTCAAATTTTGTCTGTTCGCTCCAAAATCATGGTTTATTTCCTGAAATATTGAAGAATATTCTAGAAAAAATGTACAGAAAAATTTGGCAAAAAAGTCTGGTGGTGAAAAGATTAATGCAGTGAATATTTCCTTTCATACATGTATATACATTACGTCATTTTGAGAATAAATCGAGAAACTTTTGCACAATAACAAATGGTCATGCAAATTTCCATTTTTGGTCACTAGAGGGCCTATTTCAAGATTACTGCATTTTTAAATTCATTTTGGTGATCACTTGTTTTTTCTAGTTTATAAACTTGAGTAAATTTACTTCAAAACATAGTATGTGCATGTGCAGTAGGACGTCTTAACGTTACTTAGAAACAAAGGTATTGTTTTCCCTGGTTAAACAGCAATGCATCAGATGGAGACTTTTTTAGGCTCTGAGTCCGTCATTTTTTTGGACATGCCTCCTTTTGTTCCAAGTTGGTACAAAAACAAGTCGCAATGGGATACATACATGAATGAACATTACTTTCATTTTTGTTTATTGATCTTGTCCCAAAAAACACCAAATATCCACAGATTTTATTCAAACTTTTCATAAAAAAAATTAAAGAAATTTGAACAGTTTCTCAGGCATTTCATTCAAACTTTGTATTGACGTCACTCATGGTGGATCTCTGGTGCAGGCAAGTTTGTTTGGTGATTTGATTCTGATTACCTTTATATTATACATATAGGTACCGAAGGTAGACCTCTCTCAGATTTGTTCATTTTGTGATGATATCTTTAATTCTCTAATTTGGATGTCTATTTTTGTAATTTTCGATAAAAAGTGATATTTTTGACTTTGTCTTGAAAACTCATCCAATTGTTTTTGTATATGTAGATACGTAATTACTCATCTAAAATTTGTTAATTTCATGACAAGATTGCAAAAAATTTCAAGAACTTATTTGTGACATCTTCCAAAAAACCATTGATTACTGATGGTGTTATTTTATAATTATCACAATATTTAGAAACCAAATCTGTATAAAATTACAGTGAAATTATGTTCCTGAATTTGTACAACAGTGATTTTTTTGACAGTAATTTGGGGGAAATTCTCAGTATATTAAATGGCCACAGGGTTCCAAAAAAGTGAAAGTGGTTAGACAAAATGCTATCTGGAATCGTATCCAAGTTCCAATACTGAGAAATGCAAAATTACTGAAATGTACAGCATAGTGGCGCATAAATAAGTTATACTAGTATACTTCATTGAAATCTCAATTTTACATTCAGTTTTACTTGCCTTACCAACATTTAATGTTGAGTAATGAAAAACTCAATGGGCATAACCGTCCAAGTTTGTCCCCAGTTAAGAAATTAGCAAAATATCCAAATAATCCTGAGAAAATATCTTTTTCTGAAGTTCTGTTGACAAGATGATTACTCCTCCTAAAGACAGGCTTTATTCTATACACAGCCTGCAGTGGACAGGTATTTGTTTCAGAGCATGCTTCATGCAGAATTTGTACAATAGTGACCACCTCACTTTTATTGAATTTTGTTCACAGAAAAGGAGTTAGAAATAAGTTGTGTGGAATACCACAATCTAGTCCTTAGATATACAAAACTCATCAACTGGTGCATGGCAAATATATATAGAAGACTAGGGTGCTAATATGTCCAGAAAGTTACTGGTACCACAAGTACCAGGGCTGTGCAATGCCTCTATCAACCAGCCTCCACTTATCGGTATTGTATAATTAGAATGGATGTAGAGAAAGACACAAATGGTCAAACATCAATCGCAGACCACAAGAACACACAATGATGGAGATGCTGGGATTACCATGTTCCTTGCTGGTAGACTATGGAGCGTACAGACTTTAGACATCTGGGATTGAAGGAAATAACAGCATTAATAAATACTACCCCAAAAGCCATACAGGTCATGAAGTTTGTAGCTTGTATCTTGAGACTACAGCAAAGGTGTAGTTGGAAAAAAGTTTTCAGAAAGCATGTGATTCTGATCTGAGCTGACGTGTTGTTTTCTCAGGCGATATTCTCCTCCCTACATTTAATTAAATTTTAAATGAAGCAAAGCAGATTAAAGAGATCTTTCAAAAACACTTAATCAGCAATATTACACAAACAGATACTCAGTAAGACTAATGAAAATTGAAATGAAATCTTAACTTAAAACTGAATTAGTTTACAATGAATTTGGATATTAACCATTGCTTGGATTAGGTCCAGTCATATTCCATGACAATTGCTATTAATGAATCTTTGCGTTTCTGGCAGAATATCTACTGTTAGATAACATTTAGGTTATCTATAAACTAGAAGTATATACTATATTGACTTTAGTATGAATTGTTGACCTAGACATGTCTCACTATCTTCTTAAACCTGTTTTCAATAATCAACCATTAGAAATATAAGGCTTCCCATATTCAAAGTAGTGCATGTACCGTACAACAAAATGTATGTTTTGCTTGGCAGATATGACCAAGTTTGTATAATCTAAAAACAACTTCTTTTTTATCAAAAATATGTTTGATATACCAGTTGAGTAGAAAAATCAAGATCTGACACTCAGTTATGAACACTGCCCTCTTTAGGCAAGTTCTCATATAATATTGATATGTAGAATATACATCTATCAGCCTCAGATTTGTTAATATTATATTGAAAAGTCATCATTTTAAAAAGTTCTTCGAGATTATCACAAATAAGTATGTTATTTTCCACCAGTACCCTTATATTACTGTCTGAGAAGGTTGTCTTGCAACAATTACAGTGATTTTATCTGATTCAAACATATTAACATCGACAAAGCCAACTTTTTTCAAAATCTCAGCATAAATATTTGGCATAATTGGATCAGTGTTTACTCCTAGCTTGGAACAAAGGGGAAAAAATTTCATATCAACTGTTGTCACCAATTTCGCCCCAGGTTTCATAACTCTTAGCACCTCGCGACAACCAGTATCTATACTTGGCCAGAAGTAGTAACAATTGCAGTGGTATACTGCGTCAAATGAATCATCTCCAAATGGAAGATCCATTACATTCCCTTCTAATATTTCAACGAGACCTTTGGATACTTCAGTTTTCAAGTTACTTGTTGCTTGTTTCACCATTGTTGGTGAAAAGTCAACTCCTCTTACTTTTCCACCACTTTCTAGAATGAATAAAAACAAATATTTAAAGTGGTAACTAATAATTTGAATAGGAATGAATCAAAGTGTTTTAATTTGAATAGAGATGAAATCAAAGTGACCTAATTTGAATAGTGGTGGATCACGATGCCCTGATTCAAATAGCAATGAATCAAGATTCTCCCTGATTTGAATACTGATCAGTTTGTCCCCTAATTTAAATAGCAATGATTCAAGCTGTGTCCTGATTTGAATTGCAATGAGTCAAGGCATGTCCAAATTTGAATAGCAATGGATTGAGGGGTGTGCCCTAATTTGAACAGGCATGAATACATGTAAGCAGTGCCTTAAATTGAATTGTGATGTATCAAGTTTTGCCCTAATTTGAAGGTGGGTCCTAATTTGAATTGTGATGAATCAAGATTTGACCTGATTTGAATAGTTATGTACCAAGTTGTGCTCCGGTTTGAATAGCAAAAAGTTAAGCTTTCCCCTAATTTGAATAGTCACGAATCAAGTAGTCACCAAATTTGAATAGCCATGAACCAAGGTGTGCCCTAGTTTGAATGGCCATAAATCTAGGTGTGACCTAATTTGAATAGCCATAAATTGGGGTGTCCCTAATTTGAATAGCCACGAATCAAGGTATGCCCTAGTTTGAATAGCTATGATCGAATCGAGGTGTCCCTAATTTAAATAGTCATGAATCGAGGTGTCCCTAATTTAAATAGTCATGAATCGAGGTGTTCCTAATTTGAATAGCCATGAATCGAGGTGTGCCCTAATTTGAATAGTAATGAATCAAGGATTGCTCTGATTTGAATAGCCATGAATCAAGGTGTGCCCTAATTTGAATAGTCATGAACCTGGGTGCCTAAATTTGAATAGCCATGTACATATCAAGGTGTGTTCTAATATGAATTAAGAGCCATTTATGTCATAATTTGAATCACCTGCACATGCTGTAATATGAAAAATAAATAATCAAGGTGTGCTGTAATTGGAATATTCAAAGTAAAAATGGAGTGGACTAGTAATAACCCATGGCAACTTTAAATAGTTTGTTGTTTCATAAATTTGAATAAATTGCATACAGTCATGCATTTATCACAATGAAATGCGCATTCATAGAACAACTTTGAGTGTTAAGGAGATCAGAGTGTACAAGAAAATATACTCTACAATTAAGGTTTATACATTTACATATACTGGTATATGTAAATTACAATCAGCTTCCTGTTCTCTAACTACCAATCCCAATTCCAACCCCAATCAAAACCCACATGTATACTTTCCACCATACAGAATTGTTCATAGAGTGTAGTGGGCATGATGAAATAAGCACCACCCTTTAACAGGTATCTTTCAATCATAATAGCAGGTTATGGCACTGTACACAACCATAAATGTGAGTCAATAGTGTTGGATAAGGATGTGAGTTTTACCTGTTTTGACATACTTAGCGGCTTCTTTCATCCCAAGTCCATGTCCAAAACCAACCTCCAAAACATTATGATGTGGCTGAATATCAAGTACTTCCACGGCTTTCTTCTCTAGAGCTAAATTTATTTTTGCAAGGACATGTTTCTATCAATAAAAATAATTGTAAAATTAACTGAACCTATAAATATTACACAACCTACTAAACTATTTTCAAGCAAGCACAATTTCTTTGTCAATTTTTGCACTTTTTTCTTATATTTTTCAATATTCTGGGAA